GAAATAAGATGGAGGGCAAACTTTGGTGAAAATATCGGCATACTGAGAAGACGAAGGCACATGGAACACTTTGACCTGACCCATAGCAACTAGATCGCGAACGAAGTGGATGTCAGGATATGTTTCGTGCGTTGATGTTTAACCGGATTACTGGTAAGGTAGACGGCACTTACGTTATCACAAATTCACAATACACTAGTGTCGCTCGATCAGGTGGTCGATGAAGCTCTCGGAGTAGATTACGCAACCAACATGTCTCAGCAACGACATTAGCAACACCGTGATATTCAGCCTCTGTACTGGACCGAGAAATAGTAACTTGTCGTTTAGAAGACCACGAAACGAGATTGTGTCCAAGAAAGACACAATAACCAGAAGTCGAACGTCCGGTGGTGGGACAACCAACCCAATCGGCGTCTGAGTAATGAGTAAGCGGTAAGACTGGTGGAAGGCGAAGCAAACAATTGAAGCCCGAAGGAAACAGTGCCTCGAACATATCGTAAAACTCTCTTAAGAGCAGCCAAGTGAGGCTCTTGAGGGTCATGCATGTGTAAACAAACTTGTTGAACTGCATATGTGAGATCTGGTCTTGTGAATGTGAGGTCCTGAAGAGCCCCGGCTAGGCTGCGGTATAGAGTAGGGTCGGCAACCGGAGGACTTGTAGTGGGAAGCTTGGATGACACATCAGCAGGTGTACGTGCCGATTTACAATTCAACATCTTTGCCCGATCAAGAATATCCAAGGCATATTATTGTTGAGAGGGAAACATACCGTGACGATCTCGAATAACTGAAATGCCGAGAAAGAAATTTAGATCACCAAGATCTGTCATGGAAAACTCAGTGCTCAACGTGGACATAATAGTACGGAGAAAATCGATAGATGAGGCCGTAAGAATGATGTCATCCACGTATAATAATAAGTATGCGGTATGCAAACCCTGTCGAAAAATAAACAACGAGGAGTCACATCGACTATGAAGAAAACCAAGTCGTAAAAGATACTCAGCAAAACGTTGAAACCAAGCATGCGGAGCCTGTTTTAGACCATATAGTGATCGTTGAAGCAGACACACATGATGTTGGAAATCGATTATCCCGAAAACCTGGTGGCTGCTGCATATACACGGTCTCCTGAAGAAGTCCATGAAGAAATGCATTCTTTACATCTAACATTTCGAACTGGCCAATGATGAGAAATTGCAAGTGTTAAAACGGTACGTAGGGTAGCAGGTTTGACGACAGGGCTAAACATCTTATCACAATCAATACCAGGCCGTTGAGTTCTATTGTTTGCAACAAGTCGAGCCTTGTATCGAGAAAGAGAGCCATCTGCATTGTATTTCTTCTTGAACAACCAAATACAATTCACCACATTTGCATCCAGTGGTCGAGGGACAAGGGTCCATGTGTCGTTGGCAATAAGTGCATTGAACTCTTCTCGCATTGCATTAGACCAATTGGGGTCTGTAAAAGCTTGTGAGTATGAACGGGGAACCGGAGAGGTAGTATCGACATGGAGATTAAGCTTGCGTGTTGGTTTAAAAATGTCATGTCTTGAGCGGGTGACCATGTGATGTGTAGTAGTTACCGGTGTGGGAGAGCCGACCGGTGAGGTAGTCGGTGAACCCGTCGTTGATGATGGTTCTGGAGAGACAGTATTGATGTCAGTAGTGGTTGATGAGCTCGAGGCAGTGGCATATCTGTTGCTATTATCAGCAACGGATGAAGTGACTGGTGATGGTATATGAGGGGGATTGGAGGATTGTAGTAGTTGGGCAGAATATGTATTTGGACCATCTAGAGAACTGTCAAGAAAGGTATATGAGGGTGAAGCATTTGGAGTCATAGATCCAAATGGAAATATGGTTTCATCAAACGTAACATGGCGAGATATGATAATTTTTTGTGTGTCAAGATCGAGACATCGATATCCCCGGTGATGGGAGGGATATCCGAGAAAGACACATGGTGGTACGGGGTGCAAGTTTATGAGGTGTGACAATATATATGAGGATAACACAAACATCCAAACACACGAAGGTGGGAATATGTAGGTCGACGGTTGAAGAGCTTGTAATATGCAGTATCATTTTGTAATGATGTGGAAGGTAAGATGTTAAGCAAATGAACAACCATGTTTAGGGCTTCCACCCAGTAAGTTGGAGGAAGATGAGCGTTAAATAAAAGAGGAAGATGAGAAACCCATATGAATGCCATGAGAACCACAAAATTTGTGAAATTGGTGATTATTAAATTCCCCTCCGTTGTCACATTGAAATGCTTGAATGGAAGTTTTGAATTGGTTTGTAACATAGTTGTGAAAGTGTTCAAATTTTGAGAAAACATCATATTTGTTTCGTAGGGGAAAACCCACACAAAATGAGTGAAATGATCAAGAAATATGACATAATACTTAATGCCACTGATACTTGGAATGAATCAATTGAAAAGGAAATTGAGCAACAGAATTAGATAACTTAAATGGCAAGCGAACATGTTTAGCAAGTTGACAAGAATGACAAAGACTAGTATTTTTATTGTTCGTACAAGAAATAAATTTATTTGAAACTAAATGTTTAAACACGTGTTGACCGGGATGACCAAGACGAGACGGATCGAGCGTGACAAGAGCTTGGGGAGTTAGTTTGGTGACTGGATAGAGTTCTCCTTTGCTATCACAGCGGAGAAGAATTTGTTTGGTCCGATAATCCTTCACAGAAAAACCAAACGCGTCAAATTCATTTATTATCACGGGTACATAAATTAAGTTCTTAATAATGGAGGGAGTAATAAGAAGGTGATTTAAAGATAAGGTACGAAAAGGATGATATATGCACAGAAATTTAGGAACCATCACTAACACAGATGAATGCACGATAACGGAAGAGAGAGAATGCCTACATTCGAGTGAAGGTGAGACGTGGCCCCTGAGTCCATAAACCATTCGGAATTTGACGGATCATTTAAAGTCATTGTATTAAACATTTGAGGCAAAGTGGTAGGTTGATCCGTATTGGTTGGAGTATTCGATTGTAATGTAGTAGGAGGTTGACTGTAATATGCTTGGTTTGGGTTGCTGCCGGTTCCACCTGGCTGAATTAATAGTACCTGGACCAAACCCATTTGAAGTAGATGCACATGCACTAGGCCAGCCGTAAGTGGGATGCTGAGTTACTGCTGTTGAGAAGTTGACGGGGCCTTGATGGGCTTGCTGAAACGAAACAGGCCCAAATGGGCGTGTGTTTTGCTGAGATGGGCTTGATGGCCAGCCGATGGTGGACACAAAATTTCCATTAGCAATGTGTTGACCTATAGGCGGCAGAAAAATTGTTACTTCCATTTCGACCTCCAAAATTATTACTACCACCTCGGCCATTTCTTCCTCCACCCAGATTATATTATTGCGATGGTAATTTTGCGACTAAGAATTATCCGAAACGAGAGTGGTCTGTGATGAAGAGTGATCCGAATGCATCGACTGAACTTGGCGGTTTTGAACCTGATTCATCCGTTGTTCCTCGAGAAGAAGCATCCAACGGGTTTCCAAAAACGATGACGAATCAAACTAGCAATGTAATCAAACTTTGGAGACAAACCGTTTATGGTGTAAGCAACAAGATTTTCCTCGATGTTGTCAAGAAGATCGACAATCGTTTTGATATGGGTACAGTAATCCGTCACTGACTTGTCACCGATGGTAATGTTTCGCAGCTCGTTGTCCAACTGGATTGCCTTGGCATCTTTATTGTCAGGAAACAATGTCTCAAGAGTCGTCCAAACTTGATGAGCCGTCGGGTTCTTCTTCAAGATCATCGTCAAAAGTGGTTGAGAGATCGTCCGGTAGATCCACATTTTGACAATGTTATCGAGTCGATCCCATTCTTTTCTATCGGAGATTTCCGCAACTTTCTCCTTTCTCGTTTGGAGGCTCGAGATGATCAGCAACTCCGAACCCTAGACAATGGGTCAAAAAGAGTTCACGCCATGCATCGTAATTCATACGATCGAGGTCAAGAATCAAAGGGATGTACGCTTTGATGTTGGTGATCCCGTAAGGTTTTTCAGATGCCATTGATGAAGGTAAGAGATGAAGAAAGAAGAAAAAAGAGAGGCTGCCGGTAATGGAAGAACGACAACAAGAAGAGCAGAATGAGACATAATTGGGGTAGGTTTAGTTTGGCTCTACCATGAAATTGTGGAATATCATCTGATCTCCTTCTCATTTACATAACTCGTATATATACATACAAGATGCCGTACAAAAGCCATACAAGATAATGCTTATCAAAAAACTAATGACCAGCTACCCCAAAACAACCACACGATAAATACAAAGTGGATAAATACAAATTGAATAATTAATATGTGCTAACAGTTATACTCTTTGCTTAAGATTCTTATCTTAGTAACATGAGTAGGATATAATATGATCTCACCATTAACAAATGCTTTATGTGACTTTTATAATATAAGAAGTTAAGATGTTTATATGTCACTATCAATTTGTAGCAAGATGTTAAAATAATTTATTTTTTTGTGGGATGATCTTATACACACATCACCAAAAGTTGGTTAGCTAGAAAACAAAACTCCACTTGTATGATTTTCCTTTCGTTGTTTGTTTTTCAATATACATACCAAAGAGAAAGAGTCCATCAATTCCAAACATTAACATCATGTTTCATGGTAAATTTACAACATGAATCTGATCCTATAGAACTTAGGTAATAAAGAAGTAGGAAGTGTGTAGTTGCACTTCACATAAAGGATAAAAACAATAAGTACGAAGGTATATATTATTATATTGTATGAAAACCACAATCAAATTAAATGAACTAGGGCTTATACTACTCAGCTACTCTCATTTTAAGTCTCCACTGCTTTCTATGTGAGTGTTTGTACTTAGAAACGGACAACTCCTTGAATATACAATTATACATCCTTCAACAAGTTCTTTTCATCAAACTTTAACCTTAAAACAATTAATCTTAAAAACCCTACACCATAAACATGGTATCCGACCTTTGTGCATCCATTTGAATCATCATAAGAGTAGAAACAATCTCATTTATACTTAATCTTCTCGATGGTTCACTTTCCAAACAACCAATACTCGGTTTCACCAAATGCAGTTCAAGTTCATCTTGATCTATAACAAACCCGAGGGCATGTCTAACTTTCAAAGGAGGGTCAATAATGTAATTAACCTGACCTTTCACATTATTTTCATCACCCATAATCGAAACAACTTCTTCACACAACATCACTTGTCCCCCATCATCATTATCATCAATCTCATACATTGCTTTTTCCCCGTTAATAACAAAACAACTCCAAATGCATACACATCAGTATTGGTTGTCTCAAATCCCGCCTCTAAATGCTCGGATGCAAGGTACCCCTTTGACTCAAACCGACATGTTATAGATGAATTTCCGTTTCCGCCACTCTCTATTTACTTTGCAAGACCAAAATTTGAAATCTTTATGAATGTATGTTGGATTCGCAAAATTATGAAGATATTAAAGACCTTTCGCAACATCTAAAGCAATACGAATCCGACTATTCCATGTTTGACTTTCTTGACAAGTCAAATCTCAAAGCCATTCGTTTAAAGAACCGTTTTCCATGAATTCATAAACAAGATAACAAGATTTATCGTGTTCACAAACTCCATAAAGAGCAATAAGATTGAAATGATTAATTTTTTGGAGAAATTTCACCTTTTTATTTTGCGTGTGCTCCCGTTTGTTTTATTGTGACCTTTCTACCCTTTAAACTTCCTTTATAAACCGACAGACTTAAATCATTTTTCGAGGGTAAATCCGTCTGTGGCCTCCTCTAATTCTTCAAATTTGTAGATTTTGAGAACTTGACGAACACTAGCAATACCAAGTTGGATATCTTTAGGCAATATCCATTTTACGATTTTACCCTTATTCGTTCTTTTCCTTCTCGATACAAAATATATCACAATTACACCACAAATAATCGCCAAGAAACAGCCTGATATCATCTCGATTATGATTCCTTTCTTTGACAACTTCTTATTCCGATTCCGAAACCGGACTAATATTCTTGTTTGAGAACATAAAGGTTCGGTGGAGAGAGGAGCAAGAAGGGTAGTGAACGGAAAAATCAAATCTTCAACAGAAGAAAACCTGTTTTCCAAAACTAAACTTTGAAATTTCACATCAAACCGTTTACTAATTTTCTTGATTAAATCTTCCCAAGTAATCAAGTAAGTCAAGAGAAACCTGATTTCGGCCGTGGTTTGATTGAGGTCCCGTTTGATAGTTGCTGATCGAGAAAGTGCTGATTGGGAAAAGTCTGTCCGGATAAGAAATCCTAACTGAGTAAAAAATCATCTTGTTCGATTGTACATCTGACTGAATGTGCCGAGTGATGAAAAATTACCATTTTACACTGCTGTTATATATAGTGATGGATGAAGTTGTTGAATAATTATAAAAACATACATATTGTCATACAAAATGTAGATTATAGACAAATAAAAAATGTCATACAAAATGTAAATTAAACATAAATCATTTAATATCCAAATAAAAACATAACGAAATTTAAAATAACATAATAATTTAATATAAAGTAGGTGAAAGAAGTTGATTTGCAATTTGATTACGCAAAACACGCATATATTCAACAGATTTTAGACCTCATTCTATGCCTTGTACGTTTTCTCAATTAATTCCCCCACCTTGGACGTTAGGAGTAACCATAGTGTCCTCCTCCAATTTTGTAAAAAAGTCATCTTCTATATTGTATTTCCTTATAAAGTATGGACCGCGATACAAGCAATGACA